TCCCTGAACTGGGGGGAAAGTCGGGGAAGGAGGCTCGCTCCTATCGCACGAGGGAGTCACGTCATCATTGTCGAGGGTGGTGCCAAGTCGTCCGAATCGCAATCGAACGGCGGCGAAGAAGCTGGCTGGGATCGACGATATGGAGCGATTTTGTTAGTGAAGGGGGTGGCGGAAGACGAAAAGGGAAATTATACAGTCAGTCACAATTATGCCCGTTTTATCACGTTTAGTCACAGGGGAACCACAAACAGTCACAGTACAGTAGATTGCTATCGCGGGTGATCACAGTGCTATCACGGATGGTCACACCTCGCCCCGAAAAGCCATCACGTTTGGTCACTCGTTGAAACGGTCATTATAAGTTGAAACTACACAAGTCACTGTAGGGATTCAAGGACAGTTATCTCGCGCGCGCCGTTTTGTCCGTAGTGTCACGAAATTGTTTCGCGCACCCTCTCGGTAACTCGTTAAAATCATTTGAGATTTCTTGTTACTATTCGATTGTCCACTGTTCGATGGATGCATAATGACCCTAAAATATCACTTTAGATGGGTGAAACTCGTAGGGTTGCATTTTTTGTTCCCAAGACTAAAAAAACTAAAACCCGTTCCGATGGGATTTAATTCGGGATGCATCAACCCTAAACACCTTGTCGCATGGTGTTTAGGGTTGATGCCTCCCAATGGGCGTGCCATCCTTTAGGGGTTTATTTTTTTCTTCATTCCCCTAAATGTCGGGCTAGAATTTTGCGCGAGGTGACAAGCAATGAAGGTTGGGATTCCCCAGAATTTCTACAGTTAATTTTGTGGTTTCAAATTAATTATCCTCGTTTCATCGAGTGACCAAACGTGATAGCTTTCTCGGGGGAGGTATGACCATCCGTGATAGCACTGTGATCACTCACGATAGCAATCTACTGTACTGTGACTGTTTGTGATTCCCCTTTGACCAGTCGTGATAAAATGGGCATAATTATGACTTCCCGTATAATTTCCCAAAGGCGAGTCAGGCACGCAAATATCGTGGCAGGTTCGAAAGTGTGGCTCGGGGAGGGAGGCGACCACGCAATTTCCACTGACAGGGCAGGTCAGGGGGGAGGGTTTGGGGGGGCAGGGCAGGGCCGCATGGCACGCTGGTTTGGTTTGGTGGGCTCGGCGCTTGGTTGGGAAGAGTTTTGGAAATGAAGGCTCATGCAGAGGTATGGGAGGGCCAGCTAAAGGGAGCAGCAGAACGTCACCCTCCAAAGGGAATGCTAGCTGTGAAGTGAAGCCTCCTTATCTCAGCAGATTTTCCACTGTCTAGCACACTGACTGTGGCAACAGCAGCAGGCTGCTGGGCCAACACGAGACTACCGAGTCGGCCATTGTTTCCATAGTTTCCGGATATCTAGCTCCGGTGCATCGATATCTCTGCAACGCCGTGTGAAGTTTGAGGATTGCGAACGCTTGGAAAGAAATTACCGTTTTGCGGCGGTCTCCAATCCATCATTCTAGTCTTGCAACGTTCTCCGGGTGTATGAGAAAGAGATGTCGAGTCCAACGAGGCCAATGGAGACGCACGCCACATCCTTCTGGCGAAGAATCAGCTCGCGGCACGCCAGAAGTGCGACGATGATGCCCGACGCGAGGCGTGTCGAGGAGACTGCAGAGGTTGAAAGCAATTCCGTGAAATCCACTATTCCCACGCATGAACGTCAGCTGCCTAGGCTGCAGCCGTGCTCACCCGCTCAAGAAGACCATCCCAAAGGCTTCCACTGGCGGCGACTGCATTTCTTGCATCATAGCGGCAGCCTGCGTCGGAGACTTTCTTGCCCAGACGATCTCGCGGCCCTTGATGAGCATCCCAGCGAAGACGACGCTTGCTCGACGGAATATGATTATCCGGGGAAGTCGACGTCCGAAAATCTCGCCGATGGGGCAACAAATGCTTTCAAGAACCGGCTTGTTTCCCCCACTCGACGCCGTCGGAAGCGGTCATGTCGAAGCTGGTTATTCCCTCGCGCGCGATCTTTAGCTGATCCCACGTTGCCAGGGGATAGAGCGTGTCCATCGTCCCTTTCCGCCTGGCCGCCTTCTTGCCCAACTAAGTTCTGCTCTCGTCATCACACGCGACAGACTGAACCAAGCGAGGCGCTCAGCAGCCCGTGTGGCTCGTGGAGCAATAGCAGCCAAAGCTCTCCGTCCGTCTCGCCGCAGAACAGCGTCCTGTTTGCTGATAACGTGACGCCGCGGAAGCTTGATCTGTGCCATCGCAACCGTCCGTCATCTCCACTGTGCAAGCCAGCGTCATACCCTTATGCGACGGTTCCTCCCAACCCAGAGATCCTTGGCGTTAACGAGAGCTCGACTGATGTCAGTATATACGGCGTGGACATTTCGGTACTGCACTTGCTCCTGGCAAGCTTCCTTGGATGCATTGCTATTTTCCCGCCGAAGCACCTCATGGTGCTACCTGTCATATGGAGGAGCTTCATTGGAGCGAGCCTCATCGTCGTGAGCTTGGCTTCTTTATTGTTGCTCCTCTGCAAGGGGCAGACAGCTGCAGCGGGTGAAAGAAAAAGCTCACCGCAAGAGCCATGTTCCGTGGACGGGAGCAAGGCCATAGCAGTCAAAGAGATACAATCTTCTTCCATAAATGGAGTGGTTGTTTTTGGATTTAACACGCTGGAGTGTTGCGAAGGTCTGGATCTGTTTGCAGTGCCTGTTCTCCTGGCGGTGTTTGGAGTTTCTGTAATGGCCAATAGCGACCCAAGTCGAGTGGCCTTGATTCTCCTCTTACTGGGACTGCTAGTGAAAGGTGTAGGGTTATTGTTGAAAGGTGTAGCAGCTTTCAGCACAAAGAAGATAGGCACCAAGCCAGCCTGGTGGCTGTGGGTAGCAAAACTCCTAAAAGCCAGGGAAGAGTGGGAAAAGTTGAGATTCGGAATCCATTGATGTATAGTTTCTTCCTCTGTATAGTTTTGGAGTATGGTATGTGCTCCGAACGGTAGAGGGGTGGAAGTGAAAAGTGGAGGCACTGGAGGGCCGCTAACGTCTGACAGTTAGTACAAGTACCGTAACTTGGCGGTGAGAATGAAAGATATTGTGGACAGCAAGAAATGGAACAACCTGTTGTGCAAACTCGCAATGCTGGGATGAGTGTCTGCTCAACGTGGTAACACCAAAATCCTCCATGCATGAGGAACTAAACAGGCTCATTCAATTGTTGTGTCCGCCTGAAATGTGGTACCGGTAGTACTGCTCAACATCAATTGGAAACAACCAACAGCAGCGTTGTACATCCTGCACCACTACTTGTGCCACATGTGACGGTATGCTAAGCTTTCGTATTTCCCTTGGCTACGAGGAACAGAGCTGTCAACTTTTTCCTGGCTTACTGAGGCACTAGCTAAAATGCTGAGCGAGGAATTCCTTCTGATACTGGACCTACACGGAAGTGAATATCTGAAGGGTTGTCTTCCCTGGTTTCAATGGAATCAACAGACAGCCACAACATCAACCTTCTCACGTGAACTCCCTGCACGAAAAAAGAGGGTCAACGTCAGAAGTGACGACGGAATCCGAAGCACAATAAGAAGAGCTATCTTGCCTTGAGATTTGTGATTTTTCCGCGACAAATGGTTCCTCTGACTTCAGAAGAATAGCGGACAAGGTTTCCGTGAATATTTCTTTCCACGCTGTGACTAAGTTTGACGTGAAAGGGCCCAGTCCTCGTGTTTGTGCTCTGCACGACCTGTTGAAGTGGCAATAGCCCGGGAGGGAGTCCGTTTTCCTGCAAGAACAGCTTGAAGCTGAATAATTTACGCTTTCTATGCACAGAATGGGTGATCTCCAAGTTTCTGACCTGAAGTGCTTGAGACGCTAACGTTGCAGCGAGCTCGGAAGCCATACCAAATCCAGCAACGCCTGACATTGCAGCACTACTAGTATCCACTATGTCTTCGACAACAATAGGCAGGATCGCCTGGTGTGAAGCATCAACACTTTCTTGGAATAAATGCCATTTGATCCCCTGGGGCTCCGTCACGACGTCATTTCCAGGGACATCACATTGAAGATCACGAAGAACATATTCGGCACAGGAACGAGAAATGCTGGACATGACAGCTCTCGAGAATGCCGACTGTTACAAGAGTGGAACGAGGTCTGTTTCTTTTGACCCCTGGCTTGCATCAAATTCCGTCCGAAGCGCGATTTCACCCGCTCGGAGAGGCGTGATGGGTTGAATTTGTACAGTGGTTGTAATATAGACGTTTTCAGTGCTGGGCATACTTCGTTTTTGCAATACTGGTTGTATCGCGGACATGAAGCATTTACAAGACGAGTTTCCTTATATGTTGGATCTGTGATGTCAGTGTCACTCCCTTGTGACTTCCTCCTATGATACTAACTAGACTGCGAGAAACAGATCCAGCACTCTGGTTCCTCTCGGTATTGTCACTCTTTCCTATGATGGCTTCGTAGCATCCATGGTCATGGGTACGCGGTGCGCGTGTATAGCTCTTTTTGCCTTGCTGGTAGTCGATGCAGGAGCTTCAAGCAGAAATTCCGGTGGCAGGTTTCCCGATGGCAACTGTTCGAGAAATTCCGCTACCACCGACCGTACCGTCATACGCTTGGCTCAAGCAGAAGGGGTCGACTCAAATCGACGACGCCTTACTTCTATCCCTCCGCAGCAGCACGAGCGCTTCGAGCATACATCCCTGAATACCACTAAGAACTGCACTGGCTGTAATGTTGTTGACACGTCAGATGCCCGTATGTGCGCGTCAGTGCATCTTTTGCCGAGAAACACCACATCCGCAGCTAAATGCGAGTATGTCAGACAGTACTGTACATCAGCAGGCTCCAAGTCTTTAATTAACTACATCGACCTTCACTATTGTATCCTAGGAGCACGCTCCTGGATCTCACTCCCGCTACTCCTCCTAGGGTTACTCGCGGCTCTTTTTCTACTCGCTGACACAGCTGACCGTTTTTTCTGCCCGACTGTGGAGACAATGTCCGCCATGCTCGGCCTCTCGCCCAGCACAGCTGGCGTGACGCTATTGGCGCTTGGGAACGGAGCCCCTGATGTGTTCTCATCTCTCGCGGCTATCGTTGGGGGGAACCCGAAAGTGGGACTGGGAGCGGTTGTCAGGTGCGTGCGTGAGAGAATGTGCATTGTGTTAACTCAAGGTTGAGTTGAGTTGATTGGGGATTTCGTAAGTCAGCTCACAATCTTCATCCTAGCTTCGAGCGGATTGGCGATAAGGCGGCGTGGCATGAGAGAGCGATAGCATTGGCTTTGTACGGTTAGAGATTGGAATGAAATTGTGGAAGGATGTGGAGTGCAGGCAGTGGATGGTTGTTTCTGAATCCAAGTTCCAGCCCAAACAAATGCACCAAGTGATGCACTACCTTTCAATCATCCAAGTCACTCTCTACTCCCCAACCTCCCTCTTTCCAGTGCAGGCGCATTCGTCACGTGTTTCGTGGTGGGCTGCGTGGCAGTTGCAGCTGCGCCCTTCCCCGTGCGACCGCGTCCGTTCCTGCGTGACTCGTGCCTCTTTGCAACAGGCGTGCTGCTGCTGCTCCTCATATACCTGTCAGGCCACGTGTACCTCTGGCAGGCAGCCGGCCTCGTAGCCTTCTATATCTGCTTTGTGGTCGTGGCTATTGTGTCCAATGCGTGGGAGCCGCCAGACCCTCCCCATCCACATGCCCACGGCCATGCCCATTCGCCCAGGGAGGATAAGAAAAGCACTGCCATCACGCATGACTCCCCTGTGACGCGATACAAGAGCCATTTGGTGCAGCAGCCGGGAGATGACACGTGTGATGAGCCTCAGCATCAGCTTCAGCATGTGCAGCAGCAGCCGCAGCAGCAACAGCCATTGCTGCCATTGTTCTGGTCCTCGTCTCCTCTCGCTCACCACCACCACGGCATTCGCAAGCCACCTCAGCATGTCCTTGTGCATGTCCCTCGCCTCTGGCGTCTGGCGCTCTGGACACTCACCACCTGGCTTGAAAAGGTATTCACCTCACCAGTCACATTGCAAAATATTATTTCTTGGTTTCCAGCATTAGAACTTATGGCCCCAAATCTCGACTGTTCTCCCCCCACCACCCTCCCTTATCTTTTTTATTTCTTTCCATAAAACCACTTGCTTTTTCGCTGTACCCCCTGCCCCCCCTGTTCTGTCACACTCCCTCCTCCTCCCCCTTCCTTTCCCCGTCCTTCACTCAAATGTATCTCCACCTCCCCCCGCCGCCTCCCTCCCCACCCCCCTACTCCTCTCTCCCTGTTACCCTTCCCCTCCAGCTGCGCACGTGCCTGCATGTGTTTTTTGACCCGCTGCGTCTGGCCACCATCCCATCCATCGACCCCTCCGCATAGCATCCGATACGCCACCGCCAACGTCGTTCTCTGCCCTCTCATTGCCCTCTCCCCCTGTTCCCTCCCCCCCCCTCCGCTCCCCCCAGCTACGGGCGTGCCTGCACGTAATCTTTGACCCTCTGCGCCTGGCCACCATCCCATCCATCGACCCCTCTGCATGGGACATCCGATACGCCACTGCCAACGTCGCTCTCTGCCCTCTCATCGCCATCCACACCACCCGCGCCCTCCTCCCCCCCGACTCCAACCTCCTCTTCTTCCTCCCGCCCCTCGACCCCCCCTCCTCCTTCTCCTCCACCACCCTCTCCTCCTCTGATTCCTCCTCTGCCTCCCCGACCTCCTCCCTCTTCTCCTCCTCCTCAACCCTCTCAACCTCCTCACTCGCGGTCCGCTCATTCGTGCTCATTCAAAGCTCCCTCTGCGCTGCAGCCTATCTCCTCGCCACCCGAGCCTCCAGCCCCATAGGCGCCCCGCGCTCCCTCATCGTCCCCGTTTCCTTTGCCATGTCAGTCTTCTGGATAGCTCTAACAGCGTCAGAACTTTTAGGCCTGCTCTCTGCCCTTGGGATTATCCTGCACGTGTCGCCGTCCATCCTTGGGATTGCCGTGCTCGCCTGGGGAAACTCCGTGGGTGATCTTGTAGCAGATGTTACTATAGCGAAGGCTGGGCACCCGACGATGGCAATTGCCGGGTGTTTTGCGGGGCCGATGTTTAATCTCATGGTCGGGGTTGGGTCGGCGTTGGCTGTCCGTAGCTGGGACTTGTACCCTGAGCCGCTGGTGTTGTTTCACCATCCTAATGTGCTGCTGGCGCTGTGTTTTCTGCTGGGAGGGGTGCTTTCGTCCATTGCCTTTATAGTGTGGTCCGGGTTCAGGGTGACTAGGAGCTGGGGTGTCTGCCTGATTTGCATGTACTTGACGTTTGTGGTTGCTGCTGTTGCAATCGAGTCATCATTGCATTGAGCTGTACCAATCCAACCACTACAGCCTGCTAGCACTCTACAAGCATGGCATAAGCATTACTTTCGACTGGATTAGAAGCTGTGGACAGATTCAGCCTGTGGTGTGAGCTGCTGCGTTTACACCCAGCCATCCCACCTTTGCTGGGTTTGCTCCTCGGCTCGGCACCCCGAATGAAGCACCATAGAGCGGGACACGATTGATTTCCCCTGGAGCGTCACACTGCTGACAGCAGAGGCGTGACTAGAGGACTCACACCACGATGGTGAGCGTCCCATCTTCATCTGACATCAGCAGCTGACACTCATGCCCATCCTCCTCGCCCTCCCCATCCCCCCCCCCTACGCTATCTGCTGCTGCTCCTCTCCAATTCCTTTCTGCACGTCCACAAGCCATATGATGGTAGGTGTGATGGCCATCAGACTGAGTTTGAGACTGCAAGTGGAATTCTCTCTCTCCTAATTCTACTTCTTCTGCCGGCTGCACCGTCAGCACATACGCCACCTGTGACGTCTCGCCACGTGTCACTCTCACACGGAGGTTCATTCTGACAGCAGCTGCTGACATGTCCCGATCAGTGCGACCTTGGGAGCTCCTGAGCTGATTTTTGTACTGGTCTCCATGGGACAGCCCCACAGCAGGAAAAGAACCTTCTGATTCTGCATATCTCAGCAGCACACCTTGTTGCATAAAGCCTGCATCCCCATCAATGCTCTCAATCAGATCTGATAGCGAAAGATCAGATTCACTCAGGCTCGCAAGCAGATGACTCAAGGAAGATGTCGCTCCAGTTCCTACTGCTGCCCCCCCTGCTCCTGCAGCAGCCTGAGAGCTTGAGGAGGAGTGGGGACCCATGGCTTGATCAGGAACCCCAAACAGGCTCCGAGCAGCGCGGTTGATGCAGGAGAGCCGGCCGGATGGCGCTACAGACAGCACTGCCTGGCAGGCACCCTCCAGCACCGCATTCAACCGCTCCTCGCGCTCCCACCGCTGCCGCCGCTGCTGTATCCCCGCTACAACCTGCCCCACTGTCTTGGTTAGTGCGTGCAACTCTGTGACGAGGGTCCTGCTGTAGCCCCCCTCGCGATTGGTCACTGCGAACATTCCGACGAGACGGGAGCCTGAGATTGGAGGAGAGGGAGAGGGGGTTGGGATGTGCTTATGAGTGGAGTAAAGGAGTGAATGGGAGATGAACATGTGATGGAGAATAAGAGAATTCGCGGAAATAGATCAGCGAGATGGGAAGCATGGTAATGCCATTACATCATCCATACCATCAAGCAATATCATGCAATCACCAAATCGTGAAGATAGTGAAGCACCAGCCAGCCGCACCTGAGAACAGTGGCACACCAAGGAACGTCGTCATGGGCGGGTGTCCGGGCGGCACTCCCGTCGACCGCGGATCCGACGCCACGTCATTGCTCACGATGACGTCAGCGGTGGTAACCACCTGGCCCATGAGCGTCTTCATATTGCCAAACACCAATCCCGAGGCTGCATTCTCGGCATACCACGCCTTGAGGTACGGCGTCCAGGCGAAGTTGGTGATGCTGTGCGTCCTCAGGAACAACGACTCCTCCTCCTCCTCACTGCCGCCGCCACCACTGTTCTTGCTGTTGCTGCAGTTGCTGTCTCTGCTGGTGCTGTTGTTGCTGCGGGGGCGGGGGCGGCGGAGGGCGCTGGAGATGCAGCCGGCGGAGGAGCGTGTGAGGTGCAGCAGCTGCGACAGCAGGTAGTCCGCCACCTGATGGCCGTTGGGGGACTGCGGGGGCGGGGGCGCGGGAACGGGGGAGAAAGAGCATTGGGATGGGGACCGTGGCGCTGCGACAGCAAGTAGTCCGCCACCTGGTGCCCGTTCGGGAACTGCGGGAGGGGGGGGGGGGGGGTGAGCAGGGCGTGGTGTTAGGGGTTAGAGGGCAGAAATAGCAGGGTGGTCACGGGAGGCCGTGGCGCTGCGACAGCAAGTAGTTCGCCACCTGGTGCCATGGGGAACAGGAGGAGGCGCAGATCGAGGAACAAGGGAGTGAGACCAGGAATGAGAGAGCGAGTCCGCCCGCATCTTCCACGTATCACGGCACAGGGCCCGTGTACAGGCGTTTACAAGGCTGGAGTCAGTGCGACTCACCATGTCGCGTGCGAAAATGTCGTGCGCTGTGACAATCGTCCACAGCAGCTCGCGACTACAGATCCCCGCGCCCGCCGCTTCCGCCACCCCGGGGAAAGTCCCGCCGCTTCCGCCCGCGCCGTGTCCCCCCCGCAGTCCACTGGGCCCGGAACTCGTTCTCTCCAACGGCGCATTAGCGGGGCGAGCGGGAAAGGATGCGAGCGGCGACATTGGGTTGACTCCCCCGTTGACCGCCGCGTTGACCGATCCGTTGACCCCCGCGTTGACCGTTCCGTTAGTCGACGCGGAGAAAGGCGCGTATGCGGGGACCAAGCTGGCTTGGAAGGGGCACGCGGAGGGGCCGAGGTCCTCCCCGTCTGACGAGGACGAGACGGAGGGATGCGACAACGACGACGGGAAGGAGGTGGCGGACGTTGCGGAAGGGGACCGTGAAGCGAGCGACGCGGGGAGCGCCGCAGTTGGGCCGCAGATCGACGAGGTAGGGTGCGACGAGGTGTAGGACGCGTAGGTGGGCAGCGAGAACGACGGCGAGAGCGAAGCGGGCGGCTGCGGCGGCGCCGGGTATGCGTAGAACTCGGATTCCGGCGCCAGCGACTGAGAGTTGCCGTGCGACGCTGAAGCGGGCGACGTCTCCTTGCGACGAAAGTGCGACGCCGCTTCGGCGTAACCGTTGTGCGTTGACGGTGACGTCACGCCAGCGTCAACGTTACCGGCGACGTAACTGTGGTACCCTAATAGACTATCGTATTGCGTGGTCGACGGAGATGATCGCGTAGCCGTCGAGCAACCATGGAATGGCGGGGAGCTTCGCAACGACGGCGACAGCTCAGCCGCAGGCGACAGTGACGACGACGATGAGCGACCGCTACCATCGCCTGGCGACGGGTTCATCGAAGGACCATGATGATCCGCGGCCATTGGGGACCGGGATGGGACAGATAATCTGGGAGGTAACGCGGCGCGGTTAGTTTCGGCCTCTTTAATCTCCCCAAGGCAATGCAGGAACCTCTGCTGGCCCGGCGGCTTGCGGCATTCTGGGTGCGCGCCGCGGTTCGGCGGAGGATTCGGTGGGTGATCTTGTAGCGGAGGTTTACATGATAGGGTTACCACAGACGAAGCCTTTTTCGCGGCGCCGAAGTGCTTGATGACTGGAGGCGAGTCATGGCTGGGCTTCACTGCGCGTTGTGACATGTCCTCCGAGGCGACAAGGCGTTGGATGTTAAGTCGGTGGATCTCGTTTCAAAAGCTAGCGTCGCCAGGCAGAAGCAAACACACGCCCTTTAGTCCGAAAGGGGTACCACGCGTGATACATACGTGTCTGGGTTCAGTGAGTAAAAGCAAACTGTGAGTGACGAACGACGGCTGTTGTTCTACTCCCCTGAAGGATGAGAGTGTGTGGTTCGGTCGGGAAGGATTCACAAAATCGCGACCTACGCGGCCCACACCGGATCGAAGAGAAATGCAGGAAGGAGGGGAGCAGCACGAGCGAGGGGACATGCCCTCGGAGACAAAGTAGGATGTGAGGTGGATAGGATGAAGCTGTCGACTTGACGCAGCAGCACTGAAGGAGTCGCGACTCGCTTGCCTGTTGTTGCCATTGTTGGTGGCGTTGCTTTCGGCTGTTTCATTTCCAACACAGAAAAGGAAAGGAGCACGCCACAACCACAATGATGGTTGTTGGCGCAATGGCGTGGGGATGGCGGCGAGACAAATGGGGCGAATGTCAATGGGTGTTTGTTTCCTCGAGGTCCCAGACGAATGCGACGCGGAACGTGTGAATTGATGCGATGCGATTTCTGTTACTTTCAAGGTAGGGATGAACCGAGAGGGAATGACGGTGGCCCTGGTTTCGGGTTTCCGATTCCTTTTGGCAGTGGTTTTGACACCGCCTTGCTTTGCGCTCGAGTCTGATACCTTCGGTCAGTTATTTACACTATTGCCCCTTTTCGAGTCCAGATACTAATATTGTGTTTGATTTAACGGGATATCATAAATTGAATTGTCGCGTCAATTACGAAAAGCTCTGGACAAAAACTATATTCCCCTCATGGAGGGCATGCCATTTGGGAGGCATCAACCCTAAACACCAGGCAAGGTGTTTAGGGTTGATGCCTCCCAAATGGCCAGCCATCCGAGAGGGGTTTGTTTTTTCCACTGGCCACTAAACTAAAACTAGGTAAACTTCAGAATTTTCCTGGTCACAGGAAATTGGTAATGTCGAAATCAGCTGCCCCAAGGAATCGGACGAGAGCGGAGAAGCAAGGCGGTGTCAAAGCCACTTCCCAAAAGAATCGGAAACTTGAAAACAGGGCGTTCCATCATTTCCTCGATGAACCGAACAGGTGTTCGCCGTTGTCCTCATGTCTATTTCAAGGTGATGTCAGCAGCGTGCCTTGCCCCAGGTTTCTCATTTGCTTTCACGTGATAGATGTGGTTTTTGAATGGAGTGAGTGTTCTTCAAGTTCTTTGGTTCACCACATAGCCTCAAGCCCGTTGATCGTCGCTGGGCACTTTTCTATTTATGCTTCACATGTAATGAAGATGTCACGGGTTAGGCTGGGCATCTTAGGAATTCACCGTGTCAGCATGCGGCAGCCAGATTTTGTCTTGTAGTTTCATGAGCTGGATGTGTAGAAATCCTCTCTCACAACCACATCTTGAGTATCTGCCATTCTAGATTTCCAACGACGCTATTGGTGCAGAACGCACAGGCTGAGATGATGTGTTTACGAAAAAGGTATACGTTCTATAAATATCCCTTATTATAGTCTAGAAGGTTGCGGTGGCCATGTTTTTATGTATTTTCTTATGTGAACCTCGTGATTGGCTCGAGCAGTTTCATCTATACCTAGTAAATGAGGCAATTATATGGAACCTTGAATTCAAAACTATCATATAATGCTTCAAACCCTGGAATTAAATATGTAATACTTTATTAGCCAACTCCGATTATTTTTATTTGCTGAGCATAGAGCAGATAAGTGTTTAAGCTCCGCAACAGATAATAAAGCGGATATCGCGGTTGTCCCCTTCATTCCATGCACACTTTGAACTTTTACCTTCCTCCGTCTTCTCCGCTTACCCAGCGATTCCTTCCGTCTGCTCCGGAATCCCAGCTCTATCCTCCTCTAGTTTCCAAAGTCAGGAGGGGTTTTCGAAACGATATATTGGCAGATTAAAGACGAGCAAGCATGGCCGAACAAGGAGCAGGTAGGGAAGACCCCGTTTCACCTCAACAAAGTGCAACGTACATCATCAGGCACTCATTACCTAATGATAGTCTTCTTTGCGCGAGCCATTGCAGTTAATAAGCATTTTCCAGTACGCATCTCTATGTTACCTGTTTCGCAGCTCCCGTGAGGTCTTTCGCACAAGCAGCTGCGACAGAGGAGGTCGCACAACCGCTGCGATCCGTGCAGATTGACGGCCTCGTGAGTGTCGCATCGTCGTCTGCTTCGTCCTTAGTCTCCATCATTTATCCAACTTAAGGCTTGGACCGGCTCCGGCCCCGTTCTGGCATCTCTTACTACCCCGACTGCCCTAAACCCTAGATTTGACTCTCTGTTTTTTCTATTCGTTACGAAACTCTAGGTTGCGATGAAGATCGATAAGCACTGCAGCGACTGGGCTCCGCAGCTTGTAACGGGCCTGCTGCTCGGTCTCGATATTGGCAGCACTCTTGAAGTCACCAATTGCTTTCCCTTCCCCGTGAGTGATCGCAGATCCTTACCTCTTTGTTAACATCATCCTTACTCCCATTGCTTGTCTGTCTGCATAACGTATGCTCTAGCTTTTGGTGCTTGGAAGTCTGTCAGAGGAGCTTTAGGTCTGGTATGGTTGTCTGGCCCTTGGGATTGCGGATGCCTCGCCGCGGAATTCCGAAAGTGTTGTTGCGTTCAGTTGTGCGTTTCCGGTGTGCGTTTCCGGTGTGCGGTGTTGGTGTGCGTGTGGGTGTTGGTGTGCGTGTGCGTGTGCGTGCATTCCTTCTGGGTGTGTGTATGGGGAGTGGGATTGGTGCCTGGAGGGTCTGATGCTACATATGATGCATTCATGTGACGCTGTGAGCACCACGGCACATGGCAACAAGCATGATGCATGTGAACATGAATGGCATTCCGTATGCCCTCATGGACAACACTGCACGCGTTATGATGCATGGTGTGACGTGTGCCACGATAATTGGCACGGTGTATGGCATGGCATGTGGCATGGAGTGTGGCGTGGATTTCCGCACTCGCAGAGTCGGGGAGGAGAGGAGGAGGAGGAGGAGGAGGCGGACGGTGCCATGTATCAGCTGGAGATGATGCGCTGCCTGCGCGAAGTCAACGTCGACAACAACACTGTCGGATGGTATGTGATGGGGCGCAGAGTAGTGTGGTATATCGTGGTATGCTGCGGTACAGTGCGATGCAGGCGAGGAGGAGGAGGAGGAGGCGGACGGTGCCATGTACCAGCTGGAGATGATGCGCTGCCTGCGCGAGGTCAACGTCGACAACAACACTGTCGGATGGTATGTGATGGGGCGCAGAGTAGTGTGGTATATCGTGGTATGCTGCGGTACAGTGCGATGCAGGCGAGGAGGAGGAGGAGGCGGAGGCGGATGGTATATGAAGGTCGGATTTTACGTGCTCTTGGGTGTGGTGTAGTGCGATCCAGTGCGGTGTTGAACCCAGCCCCCCCTTCTCCTCCCTCTGCTTTCTCTTCACTTCACTTCCCCCTGCCCCTCTCTCAGTACTTGCTTCTTGTTTTCTCCCATCTCCCCGCCACTCACCGCCCCCGCATTCCCCCGTTTCTTCCCGTCCCGTCCCCCATGCTCCCCCCCTCCCCCCTCCCCCCCTCTCTCCCCTCGCCTGCAGGTACCAGTCGACATCACTGGGCTCGTTGCAGACGGCGGACATGATAGAGACGTTCGCGATCGGCAACTCGTTTTCTTTCCTCCCATGCTGTGCCGTGCTCCCCCCTCCTCCCCTCCTCCCCTCCTCCCCTCCTCCCCTCCTCCCCACCTTCCCCACCGCCCCCTCCGCCTCCCCCGCAGGTACCAGTCAACGACTCTGGGTTCCTTCCAGGCGGCGGACATGATAGAGGCGTTCGCCAGCTACCGTGAGAACATCACTCCTACTTACTGCCCCCGTTTTTCTCTATCCCTTCTCCGACCTTCCCCACTGCCCCCCCCCCAACCACCTCCCCCTCCCCCCCCTCATCAGGTACCAGTCAACGACCCTGGGCTCGTTCCAGATGGCGGACATGATAGAGACGTTCGCGAGCTACCGCGAGAACATCAAGCGCTGCGTGTGCCTCGTGTACGACGCTGACCGGGCTGCCGCCCGCGGCACCGTGGCGCTCAAGGCGCTGACTCTCAAGGCGCCCTTCCTCGAGATGTTCAAAGCGGGCGCGCTCACGGGGGAGAAGTGAGTGGGTGGGGATGTTGGTGGGTGGGTAGGAGGTGGGCGACAAGTTGGTGGGTGGGTGGGAAGCTATCTGGCTCTCAAGGCGCTCACGCTCAAGGCGCCGTTTCTTGAGATGTTCAAAGCGGGCGTGCTCACGGGGGAGAAGTGAGTGGGAAAGATGGGGCTGTGAATCGTGACTGTGAAGGAGAGGAGGATGGCTGCATGGGGAGTAGCAAGAATGCCAGCAGACAATATTTTTTTTCTCGCCGGATATTCACCGGGGTACTACCTCAGGGTATTCACTGCCATTAGCACGTGGTATTCACGGGGGTACTACCAGTATCACGGGGTGCTACCAGTATCACGGGGTGCTACCAGTATCACGGGGTGCTTCAGGCAATCACTGTCAAGGCACTGTTTCGCCAATATCCAAATCCATGTACCCTGCTGCTGCTTGCTGCTGCTGCTGCTGTTGCTGCTGCGTGCCTCCCCCTTCACCCTGTCCCTCCCCCCTCCGCACTCATCCTGGCAGGTTGAGGGAGAGCGACACGTCATGGGCGGGGATATTCGAGGAGATCCCAGTGAAAATGGCCAACTCCACGCTCGTCTCCACCCTCGTCGCCTCCCTGCACCCCCCCGCCGCTGACGCTGCTCCCTCGCGCACCGACTTTGACCGCCTGCTGCTGGGCACCAACCCCTTCCTCGAGACCAACCTGGGGTGCCTCTCTGACTGCATGGATGACCTCAGCGCGGAGCAGCAAAGGGTAGGTGGGAGGGTAGGGCTAGTCGCACTAGAGGGTTTGTGGTATGTGGGCCTGGCAGTGGCGGTACCAGTCTGACTTTGACTGCCTGCTGCTGGGCACCAACCCCTTCCTCGAGACCAACCTGGGATGCCTCTCTGATTGCATGGACGATCTCAGCGCGGAGCACCAGCGGGTACGTGACAGGTGTTATTGGTAGCAAATGTAGGTACGTGGGCATGGCATGGCTCTCCACGCAACACAACGAGTCTGACTTGGACCGCCTGCTGCTGGGCACCAACCCCTTCCTCGAGACCAACCCGGGTTGCCTCTCTGACTGCATGGATGACCTCAGTGCGGAGCAGCAACGTGTACGTGGGATATGTAGCAGAACGAGGGAATTCAGGGGTTTTCACCTGCGAGAGTGGGTATGCTAGCATGACAGCACAAGTCTGACTTGGACCGCCTGCTGCTGGGCACCAACCCGTTCCTGGAGACCAACCTGGGGTGCCTGGCTGAATGCATGGATGATTTGAGCGCGGAGCAGCAGAGGGTAAGTGACATGTGTTGTTGGTAGCAGATGCATGTATGTGGGCATGGCATGGCATCCCACTCAACACAATCAGTGCGACTTGGAACGTCTGCTGCTGGGCACCAACCCGTTCCTGGAGACCATCCTGGGGTGCCTGGCTGAATGCATGGATGACCTCAGTGCGGAGCAGCAACGTATAGGGGCTTGATTTTGCATTAAGAGTGGCACAAGGGACTGCTCTTTTCCTGCCTTTGTGCACATCCCTCAAGGGTTGTAGCACATCCCTCAAGGGCTGTAGCACATCCTCTCGATCCCTCGCTCGTCACTGCCTCCTCTCTGCTTTCATCGTCTCGTCACCCCTCCTCCTCTACCCCCCCCCCTCTCTGTGTGTCTCTCTCGCCCCTGCAGTTCCAGTACCACTACCGCAGTGTGCAGCGCCAGCAGCAACACTTTTGAGAATTCTGAAAAGTGACTCCTTTCCCCCACCTCTCTGTGCGCGTCTCTGCCCCCATGCTGCCCCCATGCTGCCCCCATGCTGCCCCCATGCTGCCCCCGTGCAGTTCCAGTACCACTACCGCAGTGTGCAGCGCCAGCAGCAGCAGCAGCTAGCATGGGTGCAGAAGAGAAGGTGAGGGCAGGGGAAGGGCACCATTGTTGCAACACGTCAGGTGCTCCTCTAGCCTGACCGGGTCTCGGGTGCACGTGCACACTCTCGACCTCACACTCACCCACTCACATGCTCCGTCTCACATGCTCTTGCACATACACACCCACTCACTGTGACACACATGCACATGCACACCCACTCACTGTGACACTCCCTCACTCACGATCCATTCCCATGGTGTTGGCAGATCGGACAATGCACTGAGGAGGGCAGCAGGGGAGGAGCCGCTACCAGAGGAGGACCCCACCAAACCCATCCTCAAGCCCTTCCCTTGACCCACTTGTACATGCATTCCCACTCCCTTGCTCATTGGCAGATCGGACAATGCACTGAGGAGGGCAGCAGGGGAGGAGCCGCTACCAGAGGAGGATCCCACCAACCCCATCTTCAAGCCCATCCCCGAGCCCTCGCGCATTGACATGCTGCTCACCACCAACCAGATCGCCAACTACTGCGCGCAGATCAACGAGTAAGCATTTTTTTCTGGTTAGTTTTATACAAGTTCAGTGTGTAGTTGTTTGTGGTAGTAATTATAGACCACTGTTTGTTACCCCGTTGCACGTCCATGTGCGAGTTCTAATGGTTTTGTTTTGGCTGTTTGCAGGTTTAGCGGCCCGGCTCTTACCAAGCTTTACCTCATGGATGCTCTCAATGGAGCATCTTGAGTGCTGCTGCTTTCTTACAACCTACAGTATTCTAGTCAAATAAAATTCTATATTTTTGAAGCTGTGTTTTTAGAGGTCTGCAACATCTGGGCCTCCAGTAATTTCATGCAGTGGAATCTGTACGCTATTGTAGCACCGGTATGTGGTATTGTTCACTAGAGCGTACAGTAAGTTCAATATCGTGCGAGGCGCACTGAGGCGACAATTGTTCCTAAATTCTACCTAGCCTCACTAGAAAAGAACTAGCTTCATGATTGAGGGGCAGAATCGGTAATCGTTTTCGAACATCTACTGCTGCGACTCTTTGGGAATTCTCACTTCACTGCCGCTGTTGACTGCTTGAGATGCCGTGAACGTACTATTTTTCAAGAGGCTTGTTCTAACACGTGGCTAGTCCCTCTGGCCGAAAGCTGGTCGCATTAGCCGGAAAGTGCGCAAGCTTCCTTGTGTATTTCATTGAATCCGCTATTCCGCGAGGATCGTCGAAGCTCTTCGTTTTCGCTCATATCCGTTTTTGATAATATCGAGGGATGGACGCATCGGAGAGCGCACAGGAGCTGCAGGTGCAAACGCAGGAGGTGACAATGGAGGGGGAGACGCCGTCGCGGCAGGTGCGCGCGACGGTGGTTCAGGCGGCTACAGTGATGTACAACACGCCTGCCACGCTGGACAAAGGTGATTACTGCCACGCTGGACAAAGGTGATTCTTTGTTATTATCATTATTAATAGTCCAGTGCGTTTTCAGCTTTATTGCTGAATGGTTGCATATCCCCCATGGTGTGCTCTGTGATACAAAACAATGCGTCTCTCCCGCCTTCTTCCTTCTCTTCTCGCCCGCTCCCCTCATCCTCATAATAGCCGAGCGACTATTGGCAGAGGCGGTGCAGCTGGGCAGTCAGTTGGTGGTGTTCCCAGAGGCGTTCATCGGCGGCTATCCCAAAGGGGCAGCTTTCGCGTGCTCTGTGATCCAAGCGTCGCTTCCCCCTCCGTCTTCCTTCTTCTCTCTCCTTCTGTTCTCTCCTCTCTTCTCGCTCCGTCTCCCAGCCGAGAGACTGTTGGCAGAGGCGGCGCAGTTGGGCAGTCAGTTGGTGGTGTTCCCAGAGGCGTTCATCGGCGGCTATCCCAGGGGGGCCAGCTTCGGTGTGCTGGTGGGGTCACGCACGGACCGAGGCCGGGACGAGTTCAGACGCTACCATGCCTCCGCCATTGATGTGCCGGGTGGGTGACGCGTGGGCGACGCGTGGGGGGTGGGGCAATGGAGGGGTGGGGCGTGGTTATGAAGGTGCCTCAGAAGTCGTGTTGGTGTGCTGGATGGGTCGCACACGGACCGACCGAGGCCGCGATGAGTTCAGTTCAGGCGCTACCACGCCTCTTGTATGAACAAGTGTTTTGAGACGTATCAAAACGCTACCACGCATCTGCGATTGATGTGCCGGGTGCGTCAGAAGCCGTGTTGGTGTGCTGGTGGGGACGCGCACGGACCGGGGCCGGGACGAGTTCAGACGCTACCATGCCTTCGCCATTGATGTGCCGGGTGGGTGACGCGTGGGGGGGAAGGGAAGGGGGAAAGCGGGAAGGAAGGGGTGGTGGGAGGGGGGAGGGGAAAGGCTGGGTGGGGAGTGCAGAGCCTGAGACGTTGTGTCGGTGTGCTGGTGGGGTCACGCGTGCATAGGCTGACGGCGTTACGAGAAATAAGGGCGGTTGTGAGACATCTCAAAAGCACCCTTATTTCACGAAGAGCCTGAGATGTTGTTTCGGTGTGCTGGTGGGGTGGCGCATAGGCTGACTGCGCTACGAGTTGAGGCGCTACTGTGCCTCTGCCATTGATGTGCCATCGATGCCTCCTTTCCCCTCCCCTCCACCCCCCACCACCCCCCACAACCCCAGGTCCCGAGGTGGCCCGCTTAACAGCAGCAGCAGCCAAGTATGGAGTGCTTGTCGTCATGGGGGCAATCGAGCGGGCGGGCGGCACTCTCTACTGTTCCGTACTGTTCATCGACCCGCGCCTGGGGCTGGTCGGGCGGCACAGGAAGACAGTGCCGACCGCTTTGGAGCGTGTGATATGGGGGTGCGGCGACGGTAGCACGGCGGCAACGGTGGTGGACGCTGGGGGGGTGGGGCGGGTGGGCGCTGCAGTGTGCTGGGAGAATCGCATGCCCATGGTTCGCATGGCGCTGTATGGGAAAGGTAAGCGAGACTGGGGAGGTGGGGATTAGGATGGGAGTGGTGGAATTGGGAAAGGTGATGCTCTTCTTGAAACAACAGCCCCACAGCCCACAGGAAGGCAGTGCAGACGGCGTTGGAGCGGGTGATATGGGGGTGCGGCGATGGCAGCACGGTGGCTAGGGTGGTGGAGGTGGGGGGGGTGGGGCGGGTGGGTGCGCATGGCGCACATGGTCCCTGGTCCCTGGTCCCTGGTGGTCCCTGTGTCCCTGTCCCTGTCCCTGTCCCTGTCCCTGTCCCTGTCCCTGTCCCTGTCCCTGTCCCTGGTGAGCATCACGAAGGTGAGAGTGAGGGAGTTGAGATTGGAAAAGGTGATGCTGTTAATGCTGAGAAAGCCCCACAGCAGACTCGCGGGACTCCTGGCAGGCCACTGTGCACCACATGCCTGCTCCCGCCCTCCTCCTCATTCATTCCCCATCCTTCACTCCTTTGTCTTCCAGGAGTGGAGCTCTACTGTGCGCCCATGGCAGACTCACGTGACTCCTCGCAGGCCACTGTGCAACGCATGCCACTGTGCAACGCATGCCACTGTGCAACGCATGCCACTGTGCAACGCATGCCACTGTGCAACGCATGCCACTGTGCAACGCATGCCACTGTGCAACGCATGCCACTGTGCAACGCATGCCACTGTGCAACGCATGCCACTGTGCAACGCATGCCACTGTGCAACGCATGCCACTGTGCAACGCATGCCACTGTGCAACGCATGCCACTGTGCAACGCATGCCACTGTGCAACGCATGCCACTGTGCAACGCATGCCACTGTGCAACGCATGCCACTGTGCAACGCATGCCACTGTGCAACGCATGCCACTGTGCAACGCATGCCTTCCCGCTTCTTCTCGACCTCCCGTGCCCCCTTCGCTCATTTCCTATGTGTCCTATGCTTGCAATGCAGGGGTGGAGCTTTACTGTGCGCCCACATCAGACTTGCGGGACTCCTGGCAGGCCACGGTGCACCACATTCCTCCTCCTTCCCTCTCCATCCTTCCCCGTGTGCTCCATCTTATCCCATCAGGAGTGGAGCACTACTGTGTGCGCCAACGGCAGACTCTCGGGATTCCTGGCAGGTCGCCGTCCAGCACATTTCTCCCTGCCTCTCCATCTCCCCGTGTTTCACCCCTGCCCCATCTCTCCCATCCCATTCAGCCATGGAGCTTTACTGTGCCCCCACGGCAGACTCTCGGGATTCCTGGCAGGCCACGGTGCAGCACATAGCACTTGAGGGCGGCTGCTTCGTCCTCTCTGCCGCACTCTCCCCACATCCCTCCCTCTCCATCCTCCCATCCCATTCAGGAGTGGAGCTTTACTGTGCCCCCACGGCAGATTCACGTGATTCCTGGCAAGCCACCGTGCAGCACATCGCACTTGAGGGCGGCTGCTTCGTCCTCTCTGCCAACCAGTTCTGCGTGCGCTCCGACTACCCGCCACCCCCCGATTTCGTCTTTTCCGCGTCCGGGCGGCTGGATGCAGACGAGCCGCCGCCGTCCGCCGTGGTGTGCCGGGGCGGCAGTGTGATAGTGTCTCCTCTGGGCCGGTTGCTGGCTGGCCCAAACTATGATGGGCAGGCATTGCTCACGGCTGACCTGGGTGAGTGAGTAATTACACAGTTTGTGGGAACTTCAGTAGCTGAAGATAGAGTTTCAAAGTGTTTAAACTCGTGGCATGCTGGCATGCCGGCCGGCCCAAACTACAGCGGCCAGGCGCTGCTCACGGCTGACCTGGGTGAGTCTCTGCATCCCACTCACCCCTTCCCGCACTTCTTCTTCTTGCATGGGTACATGCCATCCACATGCCATCCCTTGCCATCCACATGCCATCTCTTGCCATCCGCATGCCATCCCTTGCCATCCACATGCCATCCCTGCCGTCTGCCTTGACATTCGTTCCCCAAGCTTCTTCACGCAACACTTCCCACCTACCCCCACCAGGCATGCGGGACATATACGAGCCAAGTTTGACTTTGATGTCACGGGGCACTACGCACGGCTTGATACCATACTTACCCCCTCCGTGTAAAAGAGGGTGGCATTACCTTATATCATCCATTTGCCCCTCCTTCTCTCCCCACCCCTCCCCACCAGACATGGGTGACATTATACGAGCCAAGTTTGACTTTGATGTCACGGGGCACTACGCACGGCCAGACATATTTTCACTGCGCGTTAAAGAGGTTTCTGTGGTGCCTGTACAGTACGATAGCGAGTCTGCACCGTGCCACATGCTTCATTACAAGCACCACCACCACCACCAACAGCAGCAACAACAGCAACAGCAGCAGCAGCAGCAGCAACAGGAGGAGCTAAGGATGTGATGAAATGAAATGATATCTTAGGGTTGATGTGACAGCAAATACACTCAACGGCAGCATGTGCTTGCCATTAACCACTGACATTTTACTGGAGAAATGCAAAGCCCTTCTCAGTTGATGGAAAGGGTCCTCCTGTACATGCTTTAGCACATAGTGAAGCTTATGGTCTGGAAAAGCCTGTAGATTAGCATGTCTCTTGATGTGACAGACGTACAATCTGTATCTCTGAAGTGGGGAATAAATGTCTTCACTCAACGCTGACAAATGGGCCACTTGGTGACTAGAAAAAAACAAAGGAGGAAAACGAAACCTAAGAAACGCATGAACCAATGAGGTACACTAATGTGGCCCAAAAACGAGCTTTGCAGTATCAAGCCAGACAGTCACCTGTCTGTGGGAGCAAAACGAAAACACTAGAAAGAAACCTGATACCCCAAAGCAAGAAAGACAGCAGCAGCAGCAGCCCGAGCAAGGAGCGAGCGACCCATCTTCGAGCGAACTGCAGCCCTTTAGAACCCAAAACGTAGGCACAGTGAGAAATCAATCCACGGCCCCTCCTTGCCTCCTCCTCCATCCACCCACCACCCCCGTTTCTCCACCCCCGTTTCTCCACCCCCGTCTCTCCACCCTCCTCTCTCTTCACCCTCCTCCCTTCCTCCCCCTCCTCCGTCCTTTCTATGTGGCACAGCTAGCCACCACCCACAGCCACCAGGCACAGCCACCCACCTTCTCCCACCTGTGCCCCAGGCAATCATCCACTTTCCCCCCTAGACCTGCCCTAACACCTGCCAACCCTCTTTGCCGGCGTGGCTTGCAGCTGGGCCATCCATCAGAGAATTCCATCACAGGCCCATCCATCACCCGTCCTCAGCACCGCCCTACCATTCCGTAATTTACCCTTCCCCCATCTCCATCCCCCCATCTTTCTCTCCATCCGCCGCCCTACCACCCGCGCGTCCGCCCTACCATCCGCCCCTCCGCCCCACCACCCAGTCGTCCGCCGCATCGCCCGCCCGTCCGCCCTACCACCCGCCCGTCCGCTGCGCGGGCCTGCCTTGCGCCTCCCCCGCGTCCCTGCCCGGCCCCGCAGTGCTCCTGCTGCCGCCGCGCCACGCATCCCCCTTGCCCGCCGCCACACCCTCCCCGCTCCCAACCGTGTTGCTCCGCCACGCGTCCCCGCCTCTCCTCGCGCCCCCGCCCCACGCATTCCCATTGGCCAACGGCGCAGCACCAGCACTACCACCAGCAGCAGCAGCAGCCCCGTCCCCTCCTCCCCCTGCTCCTCCCCCTGCTCCTTCTCTTACACCCCCTTCTGTTCCCGCCGCGCCTACCTCCTTATCTCTCGCCTGCTTCTCTCTCGCCTGTTTCTGCGCGTACTTAACCTTGGCGTCAAGCTCTAGCACCAGCTGCTCCAGCTGCCGCCGCTTCTCCGCAACTTCCTTCTCCAAGGCCGCAACTTCCTCAGGTGAAAGCTCAGGTGCCGCCGCGCTCGTCTCATCCTCTGTCTTGGTCTCCTCTTCCCCCGTACCCTCACCCGCCTTCTCCGCCTTGGCAGCCCCTTTGCCCGTGGCGGCTTGAAGCTTCGCGGCAAGGGCGTCGACCTCCTCGCGAAGCTTCTTCTCTTCTTCCGTCTCGGATCTGCAAAAAGGCAGAGAAGAATACAGCCAAATGCAGCAAGGGGAGAGGAGGGGAGTGAGGGGAGGAAGGGTAGTGAGGGGAGAGGGGGAGGGAGTCAGGGAGGGAGGGGAGAAGGGAACGAAACCACCGGCTGACAGGCACTCCGTTAACCGGTGTCCAGTCAGCTCTAGACATTCACCGTCATCCCCGACATAAGCAGACCCACTCTGCGCTCTCGAATTAAAGCACAGGCTCGCGCAAAAGTCTGGAAAGCCCTGAACCCTCGCAAAGCACATTCTGCTTCGCATGTCGAGTCCCTTGACACTGTGTTAACTTCCCAAAACCAAACAACGATGCGCGGTAATCTCCTGATTTTGTACCGAGTCCACTCGAAAACGAGGTGACCGTTGAGTCGACTCAAAAGCAGCGTCGCGAATCGAAACTGACAACAGTGCTGTCCAGTGATATCCAGGTTTCGAATCTTAACACGCCGAGATACGATTCGACTGCAAACCTAATAGTGATATCCTCGTGATTCTACGTGGGAACCACGAAGCTTCTAAACCGATATCCGCAGTTATGGGACCGAGCTAACCGTTAAGTGTCTGTGAATCCAATCTCACTGCTCTACAGGCGTCAAACGAAATTGAAGGCTCGCCCTTGATGCTTCTTCCCATCAAATCCGACAGCAGACACCGCTATCTCGAAAGCGTTATCGCGTTCGCAACCCCATTGTGTTCAGGTTCATATTTCATACGCGTTAAAAAGTTCCTCGGTAACACGCACCTGTCAACGCCCTTATGCTCCAGCTCCAGATCCATCTTCCGCCAATCCATTCCGCGCTCCTCCAGCGCAACCTCCCGCGGCTTCGCCTCCCCGAACGGGTTCACCGCCGGCTTCGACGCCTTCACCTCCGCCGCGGGCTCCGCCGCTGCGCCGCTGGCGGAAGGGGAGTCGGGCGCAACGGGGATGCCCTTCTCCGCCAGCACCTGCTCGCGCGGGCGCGCCTCCCCGAACGGGCTCGGCTTCTTGGGCTTGTTAGCATCCTCCGCGCTCCCCGCGCTTCCGCCCTCGCCCTCCGCCACAGGCTTGCGCGGCTGGAGATTCAGGCGCGGGCGCTCCGACGGGCGCTCGTCGCGGGACTCCTTCCCCCAGCGGTCCGCCTCGAGCCCTTCCCGCAGGCCGTCCCTGGGTCCGTCCCGCCTGCCATCCCGGCTACCGGACGGCACGAACTTCTTCGCCGCGCCCCAGTTGTCCACGTCAGCCGCACGTGCGCCGTCACGATCGTCGAATCCTCCGCCGCCTCCTCCGCGCCCGCCGAACCCTCCGCGGCTGCCGCCGCCGCCCACGGACGCGGAAGGGACGTACTTCTTCGCGGCGCCCCAGTTGTCCGTTTCGTCGGCACGTGACGGGCCGCCCATGCGGTCGCCGCGATCCCCGCGATCCCCGCGTCCGTCCATGGACTGAGACGGCTGAAATTTCTTCGTCGCGCCCCAGTTGTCGACTTCGTCGGCCCTTGACGGACCGTCACGTCCTGGACGGCCGCCGTCGTCCTCGTACCGGCCGCCGCGAGATCTGCCGCCGTCACCAGACGGCACAAACTTTTTCGTCGTCGCCCAGTTGTCCACCTCGTCTGCCCGAGACGGCCCGTCGTCCTCCCTCGGCGGCCGTTCGCGATCCTCGCGACGTCCATCGCGACCTTCGCGACCGCCTCCCCTGTCGCCGCCACGGAAACCCCCGTAACCGCGGAACCCACCGCCTAATCCGCCACTTTCCTCGTCCTCGCTGCGCTCCCTAGGCCCCGTTGGGAGCGCCATCTTCTCCTGGAACGTGAGCCCCTTAACGTCCTCCACTATAGTAGTCCTGGATCGCGCTCCGGGACCGACATACGCGCCTGTCGTAAACTCCGAGAGAGAGAGCGTTAATTTTTCCTTCTTTTTCTTCTGCGGCTTGGCTGCCGCCTGGCCGAGCGTCGGAAAGGCGTCATCGGACGGCTTAGATGCGGCCTGGGCGAGCTCCGGGAAGGCGGGAGGAGGAAGCTCCTCCTCCCCCCCCTCGACATCGTCTGCCCAGGATTTGGATCCCCATGCTGACTTCGCCATGGCTGGATTACTAGGACCGGCTTCTGGGCTGGAAAGAGCTGAGAAAAAGCACAAGGAAACGGTTGAGGAACGAGGAGAAGGCTATTAAAGAGAACAGGGATAGCGAACGAGGGTGAGGGGGTTTTGGTGGAGCAGAAGAGGATGAGATGCGAGGGGTTGGGGTGGGCTGGGGGATGGGGGTTTGCGTTGCGCATGTTACCAGACGAGGTTTCCATGTAACGGTTGACGAGATAACGCGTACAGGCAGATTCGGGCGGGGGCAGGTGAGGTTGGTTTGTGGTTCCAGGACGGGAAAAGATCATACAGGGGCCGAACAGTGCTAGAGGGGTGATCGACCAGGGGCCGAGAGGCCCGAAACTTACCAAACCGCTGCGCAAGGAGGGATTAACAAAGGGTATTCGTTTATTACACGTATTTATGCTACTAGTGGCATGTACCGGATCGCATTTTCGCTCGCGTGTCGTTTATCGAGCCGACTCTACCGAGAACTCTGGGGCAGAAAAAAAAACTAAAACTCATAGGGAACCTGGATGCAGTTTCGAGATGGATCAACCCTAAAACAGGGGACCATCCGGCATTTCGGGTTGATGCCTCCCGAGTCGCATCCGTTTCTGAATGGGTAATATTGTTTTTTCCTGTGCGTTTCCGATCGGGTAGGTGATATGTATCACCCAGAATATATTATGTTGTTACGTACTCACGACTTGACACGCCGAATTATAATTTCAGAAGAAGGCGACGCGCGCGTTGTGGTAGACGGCGGTCAAAACCCTCAATAAAGAAAATGAACACAAAATTCGGTTTGTTTTAGCGATTTGCTTTTTCTCATGGTTCGGCTTGTTCGCCGAGTCGTTTGGTCAGCACCGGATTGAAATCCTACGGTCAAGATTTACCGGCCTTACTTTGATCACCCTTCTGGCACTGTTCGGCCCTAATATTATATTTTCCCTTCTAGGACACCGGAGTTTTGTGAGGTTGGGCAGGGTCCGCCGTGGCTTGGTCTGGCTTGGATTCTAGAAATTCGGGTTTCCGAAGGTGTGGGAGCTGCTGCCACCTGCCCGTCAGTCTCCCGCACTTTCTCGTCCGCACCGCACACAGAGAATCCTTCCTACCCTTGGCAGGCACCGCGTCGCCTGAGTCGTAGAGATGAGATTCCCCCTACCTGCTCCCATGTTGGTTTGGCCCGTCAACCCTGCTGTGCGCCATTGCGGCTGCCACGCTGGTTCGACGCCTCCAATATTTTGGGAGGTTTTGACATGCCTGCCAACAGTTCAGTTTCCTCTGGCCTTGGGACATGGGAGTCTAGGATACACCATCTGCTTTTCTATTAGCATGTGCCGATATCTAACTTGATATAGTTTTGTTTACAGCTCCAAGAATTTTGAAGGGTATGATACTGTATACATGAATTAGCTTAATATACACAATGAATGCGGTAAAAACCATGAACGATAAAATCAAAAAATTCACCCGAGATATTTTTTTCATAGCAAGTGATTGGTTGATATGGAATCTGCTACTAGGTTCATATATACCATTTTTTTTCCGGCTAAAAGCGTATCAATCGAGTGTAGTAGAACCTGTGTACACGCCTCTTCAGCCGGAGACTTGCAACGATTTTTTTAACGAACACACACGAGCGAGCACCATTTATCAATCATTGCACCAGTTCTGTAAATCCAAGCTATGCTGCTGAGCATGTCACGACTTACGCCCTGCATGCTGAGCTGAGCCGTTTCCGCATGAAAGCTTCCTGTGTTTGACCATGGAACCCCTCAGGACTAAGGAACCAGATCTCAAAGTTTCCTTCTGTAGCACTGTGGTCTGCTTGAGGTGGCAGTATTGAGTAAATTTATACGTTGTTTTTGCTTTGCGCAGTACAGAATTTACCTATTGGGCTGTCCAGCTCGTGTGATGCCAGCTCGGGCTTTTAGAAAAACAAAATAGGAACCAGTTTGCTTGGAGACCTTTCCAACCAGTTCCTGCCATGCCATGGCAGGCACTCTGCTCCACATGCGACAATGATGCTTCCGGGCAGATGTGGCTGTGGTTGCAGCAACCGACCATCGCTGGCACTTGCATTTCCGAAAAGGCAGATTTGCGTCGCTGGTGCCTTCCCCGAGGTCTATGGGAGTGGAGCAACCTCACTGGCCAGCAGCGCAAGGAAATCTGTGAGCCTGCGCGCAGCAGTTCCACACACCACAGCAGCGGGCATGCCGCATGGGCGCCCATGTGAAAATATCGTTGCGAGGCACGCGACAGACAACTCGGTTTAGTTGCTGGCTGACTGCCCTTCCCAGAATTCTTGCAGGTGCTGTTCACCAGTGAGGACTTTCCACGTGGTCGTCGGGGCGGTCTGACCTGTCCGGAATCGACTCACTAACGGAATCTGACGGAGTGTCCAATGAGCTGAGGAGCCTGCTTCCGAAGCTCACCTCTCCTTGGGCTCTGCCCCACCCTCGTGCGGCACTCTGCTCTGCTGCAGTGCTAGCGCAATGAGGGCTCTCCTCCCCCCTCCCTGTGGTGTTTCAGTCAGTTCTTCCCTCCTCCCAACCCCCTGCCAACCAATCCCGGTTATGCCGCCACGCCACGAGCCCCTTCCGCCTCCGCGGCCTGGGTTTTCCGTCAGCCACACTTCGCATGCCACTTTCTCTCTTCGCCTCTCCACCGTCCGCCCCGCCAGCCTCGGTTTTGTTTCTCCTCCGTCACACAATCTCAAAATGTCGGCTCAGCATTTTGCCTGACCACCACCACACTCGCTCCAAATGACAAACGTGCCCTCCCCATCTATTCGTAACTCTCGATGCCTTGCCCCGCACGTAACTCTCGATGCCTTTTCTGAAACACACGAATGAAGGCCGGCCTGCTTTCTGAACCCGATTCTCTCTCCATATCAGCTCGATGGTGTTTGCGTCTCCGACATTGTCGATGCTTGCTTGATGGACCCTGGTAGCTGGTGGTGACTCACTCAGCCTACCCTACTGCACCTACCTCCAACACACTTCCCTCGCTGCTCCGTCCTCAGTCGTCCAGTTTGCTGTTCAGTTTCGTCATTTCTCGACGCATTCTCGGGAATGGTCTGTGAGCCACAGCCTGGAAGCTAAACTGCCCGAATTACGGACGGAAACTAATCGAGAGAAGGAAAAAGCACCAGCGAACAGCAGAATCCGAGCAGTTTTTTCACCAGCGAAGCCTGTAGTCATAAACAACCCGTTCCCAGTTACGAAAATGGTGCTTTGGATGTCGTCTAGGTCGCAGCACACAGCAGCGGTGGCGCCATACTCAGTGCAGCAGCTAGATTTATGGCAGCCCGCCGAATGCGGCACGTCGAGTACGGAAGATCACATATCCGACGAGGAGGTCGTGGAAATGGCGTCGCTGCTTCTCCAGTGCGAATCCGATTTCATGGGATCTCTTAACGGGCCTCGCACTAACAAGGACATTAATATCGAGTCCGCTGAAGCACCGCCTCTTCCATCCCAAACATTCACGAGGAGCCCGCATCGCGGAAACAAGCGGCAGCGAGAGGAGTCGGCGTCAATTGGACGGGCTCTGCTCGAGGATCAGAATCGGCGAATTCCAATTCAGCCGTGCAACGTGAAGATAGAGGACCTACTAGGCCCAGAGAGCAGCTCGCTCGATGGTCTTCAGGAGACGACTGAGTTTCAGATGGGCGTCGCGGCGTTTAACGACGAGGCTGCTGCTGCGGTTGCGGCGCCGGCGGCAGCGCTTACGGCGAGGGCGAAGAGCGAGGGTGAGGTGGATACACGCGACGGCGAGGTCGACGAGGGCTTCAACGGGTACGTTCCTACGGCTGCTGCTGACAGGTGTGACCCGCAGTTGTCGCCGCCGTCGCCGGCGTCGTCGCCGTCGTCGCCTTCGTCGTCGCCATCGTCGCCGTCGTCGTCGTCCCGCCTGCTGGTCCTGCCCCAGCTGACCCCACAGCCGGCACTGCTCCATATACCGCATCTCTCATGTTCCGCCACGTGGCAAAGCGCCAGAAGTACTGGTGCCTTCATCGAGCCCGATTTGAAACGGTTCAAAGGCCAAGCTGGTGATTTCTACCCTCGTCACCTCCAGGCGTGCTGCGCACCGAACTCTGCGCCGAACTCTGCGCCGAACTCTGCGCCGAACTGTACGCCAAACTATGCGCCGAGATGCTGGCAGGAATGCGCGCCGAGCACTCCAGGCTGCCAGCCAATTTGCGCGCCGAGCAGCGGCCAGGCATCCGCGATGCGCGTCGAGCCGAGCTGCGGGGAGCACGCGACGCCGGCGCCCAAAACGAGAGATTTGGCGCAGACGGAGTCCCTTACGGTTGAGCTTATATCGGAGCATCGCGGCGCGATGGCGATGGAGCCTGGTGAAGTGTACCATATTAACTCCGAGGAAGCTTCGTCGAACGCTGCTGGCGGCGGCTGGAGCTCGGGATTGAATTTCGCTGGCCGCCAGCAGCAGCCGCCGCAGTTGGCGCCGCGGCGTGAGGCAAGGCCGGACGATGTCGGCAATTTGTACGGCCACACTACTGGCTGCGATGAGCCGGCGCCGCCACTGCCACCGCCGCCGTCGCGACGCTGCTTGACGAAGCCGCGGCGATCGTCTACGTCGTCGGCGTGTCACGCGGCCACCCGCGGCGCAACTAGAAGGGCGGACATGGCGGCCGCTCGCGGCGCCGCAATCCGAGGTGCGGTGGCTTCCGCTGACTCCGCTGCTGTGCCGCGCGCGACCTACTCGGCTCTAAGATTCGGCGAGCCGGGCTACCCGGCGGAATATCGCGGCGCGTTTCGCGACAATGTGACGGCGCTGGCTGCTGACGTCATGCAACGCGAACCCGAGGGGTACGAACTTACCTGCCGTTTTGGTAGCGGCCTCATATTTTTTTACGCCGCGTCTAATACGTTCTGTCTCCGTTTTCCCTCCCTAGAGGCTTCCGCCTCGCGTTCCGCTCCGCCCTTCCGCTTCTCGCCCTGATGTCAAAATGCCTTCTCCACACTCTCCTTTTCCCTTCTCCCTTCCCCTTTCACCCTTCTCCCTTCTTCGCGCGCGTGTGACAGTATCGAGGGCCATCCGACGTGGAGCCTTCTTCTCACCATCACACGCGCCGAAGCGTATTCTCAGCCGCCGTTTACGCCTTTCGAGGCGCTTTCGCACCCACCTCCTTCGGCGGTTTCCGCGGACCCGCTTTCCCCTTCCGCGCGCAGCCCGCCGCCTCCCGCCACCCCGCGCGCTCAAGCCCGCGGGGATGTTAGCTCCGCGCCAGAACTCAGCGCGGGGAATTCCGCGGCGGGCGCGCTGTGCGCGACCGCGGTTCCCGCGGAACTTCCAGCGCTTCTGGGGGCGGCGCATGCGGCGCAGCAGCAGGCGCAGCTTCAGGGCGCGGCGCATCCGGCGCAGCAGGTGCTGCTGCCGCTGCTGCTGGTGGCGGAAGCGACTGAAGGGTCCGCCAATCCGCACTGCGACTACTGCCGCAGCTCAGGTATGGCACTTTGTGGGGGAAACGGCAGGGAGGGCGGGGACGTGGTTGTTTGGGGGGGGAAATGCTGTGTTTGAGTCATTTTGACTGTCCAGCATTCCCAACCTTCCGCCACATGCCCTTCTCTCCCTCTCTCTATCTCTCCCCCACATCATGTGCAACTCGCAGGTTGGTGCCACCACCCCATCGCGACGCACAAGTATCATTTCATCATTCCTGCGAAGAACCCGCACTCGCACCCACGTGCCGAGGTAACCACTCGAACCTTGTTTACTTCACCCGCTGCTTCAGCCGCTTTGGAAAAGCCCGTAACCATTTGCTGTCTTCCTCTCAAATTCCTCTCTGCTCCGCCCTTTCCTCCCCGCTGGCTCCTCCCTTGTCCAGACACAGGTGCTCGCTACCACAGCCAGTAACATCAGTCCACATGGCACGCGCAGCACCACCAGTACCAGCAACCCCCACCCCTCTTCCCACCACAACCAGCACCAGCACCACCACACGAGGATCACGGCTGCGGCGTGCCGCTCGCAGTCGCTCGCCTCCCCCACGCACCTCCTGCATGGCGTCATCCATACCAACGGCTTTGGCCACCTCGTGACGCTCAACGGCCGGGCGGCAGGCTCGCATGTGCTGTCCGGGCAGCAGCTCATGCAGCTATGGGACAACATCTGCACCATGCTGCGCGCGAGGTAGGATTGGTCTGAGCATGTAGCATGTATGGCCCGCACTGCATGTATGGCCCGCACTGCATGTATGGCCCGCACTGCATGCATGTATGGCATGTGTTTTGAGTCAACTCAGAACTACTTCCCTTGTGACACTCCCCCCCTTCATAACAATTTCAACGGCTCCTCTTTTCCAACGAGCGATATCTTTCGAGAATGTCGACACACACTTCATTCTCTCTCTCGTCATTCTTCCCTCCCCTTACCCGGTCCCTGTCTCCCCCCTCCCTGCTCCCTCCCCCTCCCTGGCCGCCATGACAGGGTGGTGAGTGTGGAGGACCTATCGCACAAGCTCTCCTTCTCCTCCGACTATCGCCTTCTCCACACGCTCGCCTTCTCGCACTCCTGGTTCGCCCGCTGGAGCTACTCCTTCGTGCACGGCGCTTTTGGCATCACGCAGCAGCGCTACAACCGGGCTGTGGCGCGTGTGGCCGGCACACGCCTGCTGCCGCTGCTCCAGCACCTGCGGGGCATCAACACCGGGATTGCATCCCGTGTGGCAGCGGTGGTTGCTAAGTACCAGTCGCATGTGCTGTCAGCTAAGTGTCAGCCTCAGGGTGAATACCAGCCACATGTTTCACATGGCGCAGAGGAGGTTGATGATCCCCACCCACATGCCTCACATGTTCCTCACGCCCCGCACGGCCCGCATGGCCCGCATGCTGCTCCACCCAACCTCACCCTGCAGTACCTCTTCTCATCCCTCCTCGCCCTGCGCTCCTCCCTCCCCCTCCCACTGCACCACCAGCACCACCACTTCCCCCACCTCCTCCACCCCTCCTCTCTCCCGCTCCCCTTCACTCCCAGTACCCCTGCTCCTCCCACTGCTCCCTCTACTCCTGCTGCAGCAGCAGCGCCGCTAGCTGCGGTCCCTTCTCTTGCCTCCTCCCGCTCTCCCCTCCTCTCCTTCTCCGCTCGTCGCCTCCTCGCCCCTCCGCCGCCCCTCACCCTCCCCCCGCTCTTCCCGCCGCTGCAGCCAATGGCGGCGCGCCAGCTGTCGGGCGAGCCCAGCCCTACCTCCGCGTCCTGCTTGTCCGACGAGCTGTCGCCACGTCAGCAGCAGCAGCGCCTGCTGCGTCAGCAGCAGCAGCAAGCCCTACCGTCCCCGGTTCCACCAATCAGCTACCAACAAATGGACGTCCCTCCATCTCCTAACGTTCCCACTCCCTCAACAATCACGCCCGGTACAGTCACGCCCAGTGTTTTCACTCCCAGGAGCAAGCGAACCCTCCTCTTCCTTGACAGCCCCATCAGCAGCGCTTTGGCAGGATCAGCAGCAGGAGCAACACCAGCAACACCAGTCACACCAGCACCGGCACCAGCAGCAGCGGCAGCGGCAGCAGCTGGGGACTATTCCAGGCGCCTTCTCTGCAACGAGCCGATCATAATCAGCCCGCTGCCGGCCGACTCGCCCTCGTGCCGCTGGTCCTCCAAGCGCCTCCACCTGGCCCAGCAAGTGATCGTGGACGTGCTCTCCCTCCGCCCCGGCGCCTGGCTGCCTCGGCACGAGGTTCGGGAGGCGGCTCGGCAGAGGATCGGCGACACAGGGTTGCTGGATTTTGTGCTGAAGTCGCTGGGGAATCGGCTGGTCGGTGATGTGGTGGTGAGGAGAGTGATCAACCCGCTTAGCAAAGTGCTGGAGTTTAGCTTAGAGCCGCTGCAGCGGGAGGGCGGGGAGAGGGGTGGGGGAGGGAGAGGAGAGGGGAGGGATGGGGTGGTTGGGGAGGAGGGGAGAGGAGGGATGGAGGGGCAGCAGGGAGAGGTGCCAATGGGGGTAGTCTCGCCTCTTACTCTGGGCGGAGCTGTAGACTCGGGAGGGGATCAGCTGCGGTCTTTTGAGCCTGTTTTTAGGAGCTCTTGCTTGGGCAGCAACCGTCATAGCGACGACATGGTAGCAGGGACGGCAGCAGAGGCAGGGGCAAGGGCAGGAGCAGCAGCAGCAGCAGCAGCCTTGGCAGCAGCAGGGGCAGCAGGGGCAGTGGCGGCGGCATTGAGTCCTGCTGTGCTGACTGCTGCGCCCTTCACCAGGGCTGATGTGACTCGCGATGTGGAGTTCCTTTACAAGCACCTGCTCTTTACTGTCACATCAGCTCACGGCCACTGCCACCCGCATCAGAGGATGCACCAGCAGCAGCGTCAGCAGCACCGCCAGCAGCAGCAGCAGCAGGAGGAGGGGCAGCGGGAGACCAAGGCAGATACAACGTCTTCAGAATTCTCCCTCTCTGCTTTCTCTGAGGCCGTGCAAACCATACTCGATACAAAGCAGTTCTTTAAAGACTACAAGGGCGAGCTCACCAGGGAGCAAGCAGCACGAGCGGTGGCGGCGGCAGCAGGTGGAGAGGGTGGAGAGGATGGAGAGGAAAGGGATGGCGTTTCTACAGAGAGCGAAGAGGGGGATGGGACGATTCGAGTGCTCTGCAGGTATTTTGCTGTGCAGGTCTTATCTGGTGCAGGTGCTTCTTTTTTCGGGAGGTATTAAGGTTTTACCGTCTGTCATGCTGGTACATCTCCCCTCAAACTCAACTCCCATAGTCTTTTTTGCCGCTCATCTCCCTCCGTTTCTCCTCTCCCCTTCCTGCCCACCAGCATCGATGCACGGGATGCAGACACCAATCGCAACTGGCCCATTCCGCCGCCCGAGCTCATAACCCTGCCGCCCGAAGCAACCGTTGCGGACCTTAAAGCTGCAGCCTGCCGAGCCTTCGCCCAGACCTACCCTGTGGCTCGGCACATGCAGGTACGGCACCTGTGGGTGGTTGTCACATGCAGGTGCGCTGGGTCCGGTGTATTCGATGTGCTGCTCTGGTCCTTGTTTATCCGATACGGCTTGACTCCTACCGCGCTTAGCATTGCCCTCCTCCGCTGCTCTCTCTCACCTCTCTCACTGTTCCCTCTCCTCCCTCTCCTCCCTCTCCTCCCTCTCCTCCCTCTCCTCCCTCTCCTCCCTCTCCTCCCTCTCCTCCCTCTCCTCCCTCTCCTCCCTCTCCTCCCTCTCCTCCCTCTCCTCCCTCTCCTCCCTCTCCTCCCTGGTCGCAGGTCACAGCCTTGCCCACTGACCTTGAGGACTTGGATGACGACGATGTGCTCTTTGGCTCGCTCGACTCGGGCGCCTCTCTGCTGCTCGCCATTTCCAACCTTGATGCGCACGGCGAGTGGCGCTACGAGGGCGGCAACGACACGTGGGCCGTACGGTGCGTGTGCGGCGCGCGGGACGACGACGGCGAGCGCATGATTGCGTGTGATGAGTGCGGCGTGTGGCAGCACACACGCTGTGCTGGGATTGGTGACGCTGCACCCGCTCCCATGAGCTTCCTGTGCTTGGGCTGCCGAGCGGGGGAGAAGGATCATTGCCGGGAGTTTAAGGTGGATTGTGGTGAGAAGAAAGGAGCACGCAGAGTGGTGAAGAGTAAGCAGGTGCAAGGGGAGGGAGTGAAGGAGGAAGAGCCACTGCAGCAGCACAAGAGGCAGCAGCAACAGCAGCAGCAGAGGCTACGTGTGCAACCACCCTTGGACTTTTACCAGCACCGGCAGCAGCAGAAGCAGCAGCAGTACCAGCAACAGGGGAAGCCTGAGCATCAGGATAAAACCGCACCATGCAGCACCAGCTACCCAGGTTCGGCAAGCAGGTTCGGCAGCCCGCACCTGTGCCTGCCTCCACTCCCTCTGCTGCGCAACCTAAGCCACGCGGGCAGCATCACCAAGCAAAGCCAGGGTGGTGGGGAGTCGCAGAGGGTTGCAGCGAGCAAGGGCGTTTCTGATACTCCCATTTCCACTCGATTTGTAACCCCGGAATCAACTGATTCTGAGACCCTGCCATGCCACGCAAGTAGTGGCAGCAGGCAGAGGCAGCATGTTGGGGAGAAAAGGAGGAGAGCCAGGGAGAGGAATGGTGGGTGCAGCGAAGGGTTTCTGGGGGTTTAAGTGCGCTGAGGAGGGAGAGGAGGTTGGGGAGGGAGAAGAGGATGAGAAGGGCAGGGCAGGGGGGGATGGGAGAGGGCCGGGATGACTCGATTTGAGAGGGGGTGTAGGAGACATGCGAACAGCATGGGAGATGGCCGGGCAGCAGGAGAGTGCAGCTGGGAGCAGCAGAAGAGGCGGGTGTAAAGTGCAGCAGGAGAGGTGTGCAGGACAAGGGGATATTATCCCTACATAAAAGGACAGAAGAGAACAGAGATGTGTGAGAGGACAGGGGTGTTGATGGAAATAAAGAGGCCTGGGCCGTGGGAGAATGGTGCTGATGGCAAGGACATGCGTGTCACAAGAAGGCAAGGCACCATCAAGGCGATCCCAGGCATCCCAGCGCGTCCAAGTGTCCCAAGGCAATCCCAAGGCGATCCCAGCATCCCAGCTCATTTGTTGTGCCTGTTGCCTGGATCGGCTGAGGTCCACTGTACAGTTGTGTTTATTTCTTTTGCTTGTATTATATTATCGCCTTTTGTAAATTGTAATTCGATACAGATTGTGAATGCTTTGCTTGTACAAAGGCATACTGTATTGATCATCTTGCTCACTCCTTCCATGTTACAGTAACGAGTTGGCCCTACTCCATTGGTACACTCTATTCTGCCAGCGCTATTCAGTACCAACGCAGAGTTTATTCCAAAATCAAGGAGATAATGCACTGAAATATTAGAAAACAGCACAGAACATTTTCAATACATCGAAAAACGAAATGTCATTATAGTACAAATTCATTCAGCATGCATCTATATATTTAACTTTGCAATAAACAGAGCTCCGATGAGGTTAGCAGGAAATGAGCTACCTACGGAAGATGCTGTCTCACTCCTGTCCTGTCAGCCCTTCCCTTCCCATCTCATCCCCTCCTGATAAGTCCTACATCCACCATTCTTTACTCCCAGCATGTCCATCCCTCCTTCCCTCCTCATACCACCATCATCATAACATCACACCATCGGCTTGTCTTTCTCTTACACCACACCATGACCTCATCTCCTCCCTCCATCATCCCACCATCTCCTCATCTTGATTCGACCCGCCCACCTCCCCTCTCCGGACTCTGCGGTCCCAGCCTAATATTGGAGTCAGTTTTGAGGACTCTCAAAAGTCCCTCCCTTCATCATCCCACCATCTCCTCATCTTCATTCGACCCGCCCACTTCCCTTCTCCAGACTCTGCGGTCCCAGCCTAATATTGGAGTCAGTTTTGAGGACTCTCAAAAGTCCCTCCCTTCATCATCCCACCATCTCCTCATCTTTATTCGACCCGCCCACCTCCCCTCTCCCAGACTCCGCCGTCCCACCCACCCCTTCATCCCCCATGCCCCCCCCATCGCTCCTCACACTCGCCTCCCCCACACACACAGCCGCCGACGCAGCAGGAGGCACAGGCGTAAACCCTTCCTCCGACACATTCGGTCCAAACACAGCAAACCCCCCTAAATTCGGGTCTACACACGGCCCCGCTGCTTCCCCCGCACAGGCAGCAGCGGAAGCAGCGGGGGGGACGGGAGTGAGGGCGGGTAGAGGAGGATGGGGGGGATGGGGAGGAGGAGGGGAGAGAGGGTGGGGGAGGAGCGAGGGCCATTTGAGGATGGAGGCGAAGTAGGCTGGAGGGATGTAGCCATGGAAACCTGAGGTGAGAATGACGCCATTGTCTGACTCGAAGAATGGCATGCCATCTGCATGGGAGAGGAAAGGGGTGAAAAGAGCCATTCCCAGGTGTGCGCGCGCACACACATGCACACACATGCACATACATGCACATACATGCACATACATGCACATACATGCACATACATGCACATACATGCACATACATGCACATACATGCACATACATGCACACACATGCACATACATGCACATACATGCACATACATGCACATACATGCACATACATGCACACACATGCACATACATGCACACACATGCACATACATGCACATACATGCACATACATGCACATACATGCACATACATGCACATACATGCACACACATGCACATACATGCACATACATGCACATACATGCACATACATGCACATACATGCACATACATGCACATACATGCACACACACACCAAGAGAAGATGTTCAAAACATGTCCTGCCCTTCTTTCGTTGAGAGGAAAAGAGGTTGGCTGTTTGAAGGTTTTTGTACTTCAATGTACCTCAAATGAGAGCCACGGTCACCCCAATAAAAGTTACCACTTGCCCATTCTGCAAAACCCCCTCACGTCACATCCCCCTCATAGCACAACCCACTCCATCAGGAATGCAATGCCGCAAACCGCTACTATAGTCTTTGCCACCTCACATCACGTGCCACATGCCACATGGCACATGCCACATGGCACATGCCACATGGCACCCACCTGCCATAGCGCGAGCCACGTCCAGCACCAGCACCAGCACCAGCACCAGCACCAGCACCAGCACCAGCACCAGCACCTCTCTGCCCATACCAGTGTTGAGTGCCACACCCTCCCGTACATTTGCGGCGCCTAAAAAAATAGACACCTCACCTGCCATGGCGCGAGGCACGTCCACCACCACCAGCACCTCTGCGTTCGAACGGAAGCCTGCAGCAGAGAGGTGTGGGGTGAGGGGAGTGAGGAAAGAAGAACGGAGAGGAGGAAAACGGCAGGTGAGGTGCTGAAACCTGGCCTCACAAGTGAGGTGCTGAAACCTGGCCTCACAAGTGAGGTGCTGAAGGGCGCTGAGAGGTGCTGAGGGTGATGATGATACCCTTGTAAAAAGAAAACGACATCCGGCGAAACTGACCAGCGAAGAAGAAGAAGAAAAAAAAAAACACTGCAGGCAGCCTTTAGCGAGACATCTGAAAACCTCAGAGGATGTGGGAAGAAAGCAGCGTACCGCTGACGACGACAGAGTGGTGCTGTAAGGGCAGGGCAGGGCAGGGCAGGGCATGCCCTTTCAGGGCGTCACAAGAGTCTCACTCTCACATCACAACACCTGAAGACATCTCGCAACATCTGAAAGAACCTATCAGGGCGTGAGGGGAGAGCAGCGTACGTACCGCTGACGACAGAGTGGTGCTGCGAGGGCACCCCTTTGGTGAGGTGCACGTGCTGTCGGTTCATGCGACTCAACCCCGACGCCAGTATGGATGGCAGGTGGCGCTCATATGTGCCGTGCACACAGTCTGGTGGGCGCAGGGAGAGGGGGGGAAGAGGGGGTGGGTGGTGGAAGCGAGGGGGAATACGGGTGCGCGATCCCAAACGCGGTATGGATGGCAGATGGCGCTCGTACGTGCCGTGTACACACTCTGATGAACCACGGGGAGAGAGGGCGGAAGGGGGGAAGGGGGGAAGGGAGGAAGGGGGGAAGGGGGGAAGGGGGGAAGGGGGGAAGGGGGGAAGGGGGGAAGGGGGGAAGGGGGGAAGGGGGGAAGGGGGGAAGGGGGGAAGGGGGGAAGGGGGGAAGGGGGGAAGGGCGGAAGGGGGAAGGGGGGGAAGGGGGGAAGGGGGGAAGGGGGGAAGGGGGGAAGGGGGGAAGGGGGGAAGGGGGGAAGGGGGGAAGGGGGGAAGGGGGGAAGGGGGGAAGGGGGGAAGGGGGGAAGGGGGGAAGGGGGGAAGGGGGGAAGGGGGGAAGGGGGGAAGGGGGGAAGGGGGGAAGGGGGGAAGGGGGAAGGGGGGAAGGGGGGAAGGGGGGAAGGGGGGAAGGGGGGAAGGGGGGAAGGGGGGAAGGGGGAAGGGGGGAAGGGGGGAAGGGGGGAAGGGGGAAGGGGGGAAGGGGGAAGGGGGAAGGGGGAAGGGGGGAAGGGGGGAAGGGGGAAGGGGGAAGGGGGGAAGGGGGGAAGGGGGGAAGGGGGAAGGGGGGAAGGGGGAAGGGGGGAAGGGGGAAGGGGGGAAGGGGGGAAGGGGGGAAGGGGGAAGGGGGAAGGGGGGAAGGGGGGAAGGGGGGAAGGGGGGAAGGGGGGAAGGGGGAAGGGGGGAAGGGGGAAGGGGGGAAGGGGGGAAGGGGGGAAGGGGGGAAGGGGGGAAGGGGGGAAGGGGGGAAGGGGGGAAGGGGGGAAGGGGGGAAGGGGGGAAGGGGGGAAGGGGGAAGGGGGGAAGGGGGGAAGGGGGGAAGGGGGAAGGGGGAAGGGGGGAAGGGGGGAAGGGGGGAAGGGGGGAAGGGGGGAAGGGGGGAAGGGGGGAAGGGGGGAAGGGGGGAAGGGGGGAAGGGGGAAGGGAAGGGGAAGGAAGGGAAACCGGTGGTGTTCGTCGTATGTGCCACGCACACCGGTTTACCTGGCGGGGCAGCGGGGTCAGTAATCCAGCGCAGCAGCTGCTCCTCGCCCAGGTGCAGCGAATGTGGATGATGAGTCAAGATTCAACCCAAATCCGCAGTTACCTGGCGGGGCAGCGGGGTCAGTAATCCAGGGCAGCAGCTGCTCCTCGTCCACGTGCAGCGAATGTGACTTTTGAGTCAACCCATATCATTACTTACCTGGCAGGGCAGCGGGGTCGGTGATGCGTCGTAGCAGCTGCTCCTCGTCCACGTGCAGGGAATGGCCCTGGTTCGCCCGCACGTACACCTCGCCGCCCGACCCCTCCCGCAATGTGAAGCGGTGCTTGTTGTCGCGCGCCACAGCCTGAGGACGGACAAACCAGGGGCGAAAAGGTGATGTAGGTGAGCTTTGAGGCGCCTCAGAGCTTGCCTAAAGAGTGTGCTGCGCTATGGACGGATCAACCAGGGTGAAAAAGGACTTCAAGGTGCCTCAAGAGGGATAACATAACATAACATAACATAACATAACATAACCCTCAAGGAATACCTGGCGTGCATTACAGCACAGTCAGTGAGTGAGTGAGTCACATACCAGGCACACCCAATGAATCAGTCAGAAGACCCATACCTGCCTGTGAGGCAGCCCCAAACCTGTGAGTCAGTCAGTCACGTACCAGGCGCACGTCCTCAAGGGTATGAGAGGCGAGGGGGCGGTGGCAGAGGCGCGTCAAAGGCATGGCAGTGAGTCAGGTCAGCCCCATACTGGTGTACATTACATACAGCACAGTGCACACCCTGTGAGGCAGTCAGCCACGTACCAGGCGCACGTCCTCAAGGGTATGAGAGGCGAGGAGGCGGTGGCAGAGGCGCGTCAAAGGCATGGCAGTGAGTCAGGTCAGCCCCATACTGGTGTACATTACATACAGCACAGTGCACACCCTGTGAGGCAGTCAGCC